GCAGTCTCTCGGGATGAAAAGGAACTCGGAAAAACATTCTTATTGATGATACTACTATTTCATCATGACCCAACTTTTCATTTCAGCAAAAGAGAAGTCAGACTCTCTTTTACCGTGGTACTTATATTTCTCGCGCAGTACCAGTTGAATTTCCTTTACTTCTCTCCCCCACGGGGATGGGCAGAACGAGCTTATAAGTTGAAGATAAGCTGTTCAAAGACAGTTTTTTAGAATGGTAGCGACACTGGCGATTTTAAAGCACTAAGACGGCATGAAATGTGGCGATGGAGTGAGTAGAGAATGGTGGAGAATAGTGGCTGTGTTTACAGAGCCGAGACCGTCTTTCGTCATCAGGAGAATTTGATACTGCAAGCTATGCTTCCTCTACATCTCGACTACCATTATTCCATCACGTACTCTACCTAAACCATATTACTCAACATGGACACGCGCAAAAAAATAAGATTTTTTTTTTTCCGAGCTGGAATATGACATCACACGTGTCCTGAGGCATATATAGAAAATCGTTGTCTAAAAGGGAGTTCCACTAGACCAAGATGTTTACTCCCAAGATTAATCGAATGGGGAATTAGGATCATGAATATATACCAGTAACTTTCAATCCCAGTTATACAAACTATATTAACAGAACAAATCGATGTCCATTTTACACATTTCCTTTGACTTAGTAAGATTTATCGAGACAATTGTTAAAGAATATTAAAGTGTTGTCTGTAGAAGGGATCTTTCAATATCATCTCGAATCATAACTTGAATTCGACCATGCTCAGATCAATACGATAATCATAATCTATGAAAGATAACACGCCGGGCAGAGCTGAGGATTGAAATGGGTGACACCAATGTTGCAAAATTTGTTTTGAGTTTCTGATAGTATAACTTTATTGTCAAATAAACATTTACATTTACTTGTACATGTATTAAAGAGAACTGTTGCTGAGCTAGCACCATGAGCGTCCCTGGATGGTGTGTGCGCTCTATAAGTTTACACTATTAATATTATTATTGTATAATACAACAGGACATTGGGGAAATCAATATGTTTCTAGTCATTATCATGTTAAGGGCTTGTTATTGGGTGTTAAGTCTAAATTATAAAAACCCGATGGAAACTAATATGTTTTAGCTCAATGGAATCGCCGTGTCACTTTTCACGGAAACTCAGTCTGTGTGTCAGAGTCTTAATAAAACATCAAATATGTCTGATCTTATCTTTCATTTACTCGGAGTCGAAGCCATTAATGACAATTACTACCTGACACCTTACTATGCTGGAGGCTTCAATAAGAGATGAGGCATGAGAGACTGAATGGCTCTGAATTAATCTATCCTTTGTGGTCTGTGATGTCTCCTCACTAAGCTAGTGAGGAGACATTTAAAGCCCCACTGCACTATTAATAGCTATTTGCACCCTCTTTATAGCAAACAATGCCTAATCGGTGACCATTGGCCCCCCATGGTTCCCTTTTTCTTATGTTACTCGAGAGCTGATTTGATGAGATAACCACCTGTCAGTGAACATACAAGGGAGGTCTAATCCCTCCTGACCAAACTAGTGCAGAGGGGTTTTAACATTTTGACATTACCCATATGCGAAAAGCAATAGACTTTAACACCATGAAGACGTACGTGTATGATGGATGCCATGACATCATTTTAGTGATCGCTTTCATTCTTATAAACAAAGAAAAAAAGAAGAAGACATATTCGGGAACATGGCGCTTTTCCAATCCAATGAGCTTTACTCCAGTTGAAACTTGCATGTATGTATGTGGCTCGTGGTGACCTACACTGTAGTATATTTACATGGATTCAGTATAAGAGCTGTTGTTACGGCTCTTTAGCATTCAATGACCCCCCCCCCCCCCCACCGCAGGCATGTCGGGGCCCATTTACTGGACCTGGGTCGAGAGTGGCAATCTAGATTAACGCATCGCCAACATAAATTTGTGTTGAACCGATGACCTTTATCTAGGCTATATCAAGCGTTGAAACCCCAATTAGATCAGTCGGGGCGGTCGCGGTGGCTAAATATTATGAATAATTAGTAAGGAATAAGAAGATGACTAAAAAACACCTTTTCTGCTTCAATTTTAATGGCATCTACATGTAGAAGATGTCCATCATATTATTGTCGATAGCCCATTCTACAGCAAAGCCTATTAATCGAAATACTGAAACCCTTATTGTATTATACAGTATAATTATAAAAGCGAGTTATTGCACAATATTCCGTTGTTAATAAGATCTTATCAACGAATATGGTAGGAGCCATCTTTTAAAGCTTTTTGTGTACGATAAAGGAAGGAGAGGAAAGATCGCTGATGGCAAAATTTCCCGAATGCTATAGCATTTGGTACACATTTTTGTGATGTTTTACAAATATACAAACACAAGTAAGACAACAAAAGGTGACGCATTCGCTGAAAGACTTTCGTATCTGCACCCCTCAGATGTGAAATTAGAATGGACAACCTTAAACGAAAAGATAGGACAGCGAGAAATTGGAAGAAGTCATGGTAACTGGTTTAAAAAGAGGGCAGGTGACCCGAAGAGATCACGGTCAGTTAATATTCCTCTTTAGTAGAGAGATTGACCGTGTTATCATCCCATCCACCGAGAATAAGAATAAAGGGAAATTGGTATTCCCCGAGTATTTCCCATTAATCTACATATCTTCTTCTGCTTTCATGGAACGGAAACCCGACGGTTTTTCAAGAGTCCAAGGACATTGATTTCTCTAAATATAAAATTTATTGGATGAAAATGACCAGAGTGCCTATATACCAAGGGGCAGTGCGTTCGAGAAGTGTCGTCGTATATCTGTTGACATAATTTCTATGAATAGAATGAACTGGTTTGTCTTTCTACGAGAGAGTGACAAGTAGCTTTAAAGTAGTGAAACAAAATGATATAAAAAGGATGAAAAATAAGTATTTACAAATTTACTTTAAAAGTAGTACGACTTGTTGTCATTCGATGGCCTTCTTAAGCGTGTAGATAAATACAATTTGTTTTTCATTCTCAGAATATCTAGTATTTTAGCAATATCAATATATTTCCAAAGAAGCTGAAAGACGACTTTATTTCGTTAGAACTCATGGAACACTTAGCGTCTTTGGCTATTCAAGACAGAAAAAATAGACCAGGAGCATCAGAGACATACAGCTTTATAATGTCTCTCCTAATCATACATATTCCCTGTTTGTCGTCAGGGTCTTCACTCAATAAGTACAGGAATCCATTTTTGTCGATTAGAATTGTCCATGGTGCATGTTGTATGGGAGAGAGAGAGATGCCTCAAAGAAGACGTTCGGAAATCGGAAGGTCATCCCGAGGAATATCATCAATGAATTACACGCACGCACCGATCTTTAAGAGGATTACAACGTCGGGTGTATTGCGAGTCGGCATGGAATATGAAGGATGATGGCTGTCCTTCCTTAGATCATCCGTATTACTCGTTCCAAGTCGATATAAAATATAGGAGCATGATGAGGAAAAAAGATGGAAAGAGAGAGACAGAGAGAGAGATAGAGAGAGAGAGAGACAGAAAATCCTACTTCATTTACATTGCATATTCGATGTGGAATGTAACTAAACGTGTACTTGGGTTTTTCACTCCATTGTCGGAAAAAATTGATAAAAAGTGTGAAACTGATCTTGAGATTAGAATCATTTACCAATAACGAAAGATGAAATTCTATCATCGCCTAAAAAAAAAAAAAAAAAAAAAACATTCGGATAGGGCAACACCATGAAAGTTAACTTTTTCCCTTCTCTATATAATTATCGCTCTCCGTCGTTCATCCCTCCTCCCCTTGTCCCACACTTCTCTCTCTCTCTCTCTCTCTCTCTCTGTCTCTCTCTGTCTCTCTCTATTTCATTATCTCACCCTATTCTACATCTCTGTTTCTCCTCCTCTTTTCTCTCTCTCTCTCTCTCTCTCTCTCTCTTTCTCTCTCTCCCCCTCTCTCTCTCCATCTCTCTCCCTCTCTGTCTCATCCACATACGCACACACACTCTTTCCTTTCTCTTATACTTTTCCTCTGCCTTCCTTCGTCTCCTCTCTAAACTCGTTGAAGGTTGAAGGATAATAGGAGACGAATCTCAATTATATATTTCGCATCGTTGTTGATCAACTGTCAATATTGGCTGCTATTTAACAAGACGGAAGCACGTTGATACCTCACCGAGTGTGAAATATCAAAACGCACGACATGCATGGACAATAGTGCGTTTATGCTCACATAACAAACCTGTCATTCAACAAGTATATGTTATTAAATTGTATTTTTCTTTTACACATTGCGTGATTCATATAATCTTGAAAAGAAAATGATTAGAAGATGAGGAAGGAGATAGAAATGAAGTATTATAGATAGAAAGTCAATGGGTGTTCAGGTAATGGATGAGCAGATGAAGTTATAGAGGTAGCGACATCGTAAGAGGATGGTGGGGGAGTCTGCCATGAAAATAACTATCCCCAATTAATGGATTTTTTAATCTTAAATTAAAATCGTCGAATATACTTTTAAATCTCTAATATACGTATATCTCCAATCCAATCCAATCCAAAATTTATTTGATAAAGCGCCTTTTCCTTGCAGTTACAAAGCGCTGCACACACGCTCCACAGTGTTTGGGCCACTTAAAAACAAATGAGAGCTGAGATCTCTTTTTATGTACACCCTGTCATATATTATAATTTGTTAGAAAAGAAGTCACCATGACTTGTGTATTCACCTTTTGTTTTGTTTTGGTCATTGTTGCAAAAAAAATAGTCAGGAGCTGAGTAAAGGAAATGTCCAATTAAAAAAATCTAACTTCATATCTTAGGTAGATCTATAGAAAATAATTCATAGGTTACATTGATACTTTAAGTCTATATGTTCTCAATTCGAGAGTGTATATTCTACTCATTTTAAAGTAATATTTCGATTGCATTTAGTGACAAACTATTAAAATGAGTGACTAACCTTATGGTCAAGTTTTCCATGACATCCGGGTTCTTTTCGAGCTCTTCTTTGAGTTCTTCAAAGCTGATGGCGCCGCTGCCGTCGGTGTCGGCTGCTTCAAACAACGCCGAGGTCAAAGCGTCAATGGTTGCCTCACTGATCGTCATCGAACTCTCACATAAACACGCTCTTAATACCACCTTCAACTCCTCGTGATCTATTGCACCATTACCTAAAGCAACGAAAATAGAAGAATACATAATGACATAACTTTAAAGTCCACTAACAGGGTTAATGAACGGATACACTCTTTCAAATGCTTTTATTACAAAAAAAATCGCAGGGCGCCTCTGTTTTTGACGATCTTTCAATAGGCTACAATTTGTTCCAATCAAGAATCATTGAATCACTATTGTTTTTCACTGACGTTGAAACAAGTATGTTGTTATCAAATATACACTTTAAATAATCATTGTAACTCTAACATGTATACATTATGTCCATCGAGACTATTTATACAACCTGATTACAATAAGTTATAATAATTGTATTCATATTGTACACAATTATCAATCAAAATGTTGGAAAAATTATATGAAAAATTAGAACAAAGGAGAAAACTAACAAAAAAACACAAAAAACAAATTCAAAACAAGAACAACACAAAGGCCAATATATTAAACATAAATATATCTCACTTCTTTACATTCATGTATAAAAGCCTAATTACTCACTGTTCTGAAGGATATGATTAATCTTGGTAATAAAAAGTAGTTTTCTATATAAATCCCTGAACTTACATTGAATTGTTTACTCCATTAAAAGTGCAACCACTGTTGGAAGTAATTGCAGTGGAAATGATTGATCTTTTGTTAATATCTTGCCTTTGAAATAAAATAAAAAATTAATCATTGAAAAATTATCGAAAATACTATTTATTGGTTCTTCCATGCATGATGTTAGACAATGAAACACCAGAGACAGGCGGAATAAGAGGCTTTGTTCGGTTGTTTTTATCCCTTTAACCTTGACTCTTCTTCCAGCATAAATTACCTAAACTCTACGAACGCTTTGATTTCGACCGCATAAAGATAAAAGCGTCAGAACAAATGCACTCCTTTTAGCATGCATCATCTTCGATCTTTTTTTCACTCTTTAATTGACAGCGGGCTCGTCAAAGAGCAAACGTGATAGGGCTGTCAATGGGGCTATCCAAAGCTTGACTTTAACACTCATGATGAACCACAAGACACAGGCTTGAATGTTAATGTTATGGTTTTTCATTTTTGTTCATGGTTTATCAATAAACAATTGACTTATCATCCCATAAACTATGATCTGCTGTCAAAATCAGCGGTACACTGTATATCAAACCATTTTAGTTCTCTTGTTGACTTTTTGTTTTCATCAATGCTTTAATATCACACTAAGACAAACTCATCGGTCATGTCTAATTGTTTTGCGTATTACTACTAGTTACGAAAACAACCTAATTGGAACATAGTGAATAGAATCGCTATTGATAAAGGTGTATTTATCTAGCATTATACCTTGTTGTTGATATATAGTATAGCTCCCAGTCATTCACCTTGATGTCATGAGAATCTTTCATTTCACTACCAAACAGGAGAAATCAGAGAATGAAAGAGAACCTGTTTTCCTCTCGACCGGCTGCTTACACCTAAACCGGGGAAATCGTCTAAAATGACGTCACGCAGAAATGATGGATACCCGGCCGGTCGCTGCAAGCTCAAAGGAGAGACGCAGAAAGCTGGAATCAGGTACTGATGACGTCACAATCGGTTTGGTGTCAACGTACCATATAGGTATAAATACATATAGCAGTTCTTTGTAGGAATCACATGCTGATTTATCACATCTCGTTTTGCAACCGACGAATTCCTAACGCAACGGGAGTTTAATTGCCTTGTTGAATTCAAATAGAAAATGGTCACCACTCAGATTCTCGTAGAGGGAATTAACCTTTTATAAGAGTAATTAAATTTATTCATAGTCCAATTTTCGGCAATCACTTGTGTTCCTTGAGTGATGGAGTTAAATTGATGATAATTCGTCATGTTTTGATGTGGTGTTTAGAATACGTGAAGGTATTTTTATTCTGGTTAAACTCCTCAAAAGCACAAATGAAAGAGGCTTGGGCAAGCATTCTCTAAAACAGTTTCTCTATCAACTTGTCTGACTGGAATACTACGGGATGAATGCTAGGTCGTATTTCATTTTCGGTATATTATTCAGTTAGAGATTTAAACTAAGGTGTGCTGTTAATGGCACATTTAAGATGACTAGTCATCTCGAAGGGGACATGATGACAATTTCTTTCGCATAAAAAAGTATTCAAGATAGTATAGGGTAGCCCTGTACCAATCTTTTATTACATACTTATAAGCAGATAGGGGTTAGGATTTTTCTTTATCCGAAATCGCATTTGAGAGATAACACTAATTTAGAACTTTCCTCAAAACAAAAGGGCTTGAAAATGTCTTTTTCTTGGAAAATAACGACCGTCAGTTGTCGAATCGAATTTAGCGATTGCTATCGTTTAATTAATCTGATTTTCAGACCCTTATACCGAATGGCCGTACGTTTTGTGCTGCGCAAAGATTCAATCAGTTTAATTTTGACCATTACAAGTAGTGGGTTATTGATGTAGACAAATGCTCATGTGCAGCTCATTTTATGTATGTTAGCCTATTACCAAAGAAAAAAAGAAGTCAGTCAGTCACTCAATGGTGTATGTCAGTGAAGTCTAGAAAGTAAACAGGTTTCCTTGCATAATTTGAATAATAGGACACTGCTAACGTTTAAATTTCACACATAGGACATACGTGACATATTCATAATTCCTGCAAAGTTGTACATAATGTGACGTTGGCAGCAAAAGGGATACATTACCTTTAACATCCATGATATTGAATTCATTTTGATTGACTTGCATCCATTTAAGAATTAAATGGCGTAATCCCAACTACACCAAACAGTCTTAGCTAGGATTGAGCGGATAAATCGCCTGCGTCAGAACATTTTTTATGATTGTTCATAGTGTCTCTCCATTTTTTTTTGTCCATCTCAACCAATTAAATGCACAGCCATTCACTTAATGAACACCCCCCATCGTTTGTCAAATATAAGCAAGTTTCTGCTCTGAATTTATCAGTATGAAATGTCCCAGGGGCAGATTGTAATTTTTACAAACGCACTTCTCTGCGTAAATGCCATCGGAGGTTATTTTAGGCACACACCAAATATAGACTCATGGCCTTGATGTTAATATTAACAGCGTATATAATTGAAGCGTTTTTTTGTTGTTGTATTGACGTTAATGAATGTTTGTTCAACTATATATCCGTGTCATCTCGCACGCACAGACACAAGGAATAATATATCTCTTTCGGTGAGATGACAGGATTTGTCAAATCCGGTAAAAGAACCTAAGTTCATATCTTCGGTAGATCTATAGAAATAAATCACAGATTACATTGATACTTTAAATCTTGTTTGCATTTCTGTATCTGTTTAAATTTTATGATTTATGAGGATGTTCAGATTCAGATTACTCCCACTTGTTACACGTATAGACAGATTCAACATGATGCGACAAACGCTTTATCTATTTAATTTCAATTCTTCTGTACCTTGATCTACATCTACCAAAAACTTGTTTCCATAATCAGTAGATTTATCAGAATATGATATCAATCTGTTTCGGCAGTGAGGGTACTGCTGTCACAACCTCAGCAGAAACATAGAGTTGAATTTATTTTAATTGCATAAAACTCGTCATAACATTCGTGAATTTAGATTATGAGTAATGCTGTCGAATGAAAGTGTATCAAACTTTTTCTTTAAATTATAAATTCATGCCTGCCCACTTAAAGGAATAATCACGCAAAGTATTCTGTTATTACCTAGCTTTTACATTGATCTTGAGGAGAAATGGATCTGGCCCACTTGACTGTGCGTAAAATAGTGGCTTGTATGCGTGCCATTTATCAGTCAGATCACATCGGCATTATTGAACTAAAATGCACGTTCACTTTGTCAGTTTTGCTCTCTGGACATGAGGTCTGGAAGTACTTTTCAAACGCATCAAATTCTAGAACATGACTGAAGTAAAAACTGATCTATTTCATGACCTACTTTCCCTCTTCCCCCCTTTTCACTTCACCCGTCTGAGCTAGACTCTCGCGCTCGCTCAGGACGCGAGAAACCGGAAAATGGCCGAGACAAATATACCGACAGTCAAACAAAAATCGTCTCCTAGAACGTGCTAAAGGATCTGTCTTACATTTACTGTGATAAAATTAGCATCTTTCGATTATATTACCTCTATAATCTACATGTCTTGAGTACACTGCAGTACGTTTTGATGTAAATAAAGAAGAAAGCAATACTTATGGACTCTAAGGCAACTCGTTACATGATATGCTTGTAAGAAGTCGCGAGCCAGCAGCACCAAACATGTCCCCCCACACACACACCACCTGATTCCGTCAAATCGTAAAGTGTGAAAACGTAGTTCGCGGCAATTATTTGCCAAGCTTTGATTTAGGGGAGCCAATAAGAGAAGGACACGCTGGTCGAGATGTAAAGCATGGTTAAAACCTAGTCGGGCTTCCCCTTATCAACAACCCTCAATCGATATCAACGGTCGATCATTTTGCATTTCATATTTGCCGATCGTGTGTTCGATCGTAAACGCAGAGTGAGTAACATTTTCCCACAGCATAATTCTGTCGCTCCCAGAAAATTCTACTCCGAGAACTAGAATGTGTTAGATTCTAAAATAAATCATCTCATCGCCACATTATATTTATGCATTAACAAGATAATATCCATTAAAATGAGTAATTTAAAAAAAATGAATTGATATGTTAGTGGCGGTTCTTTGTTTTCATTTCTAGTAAGCGACAAATACCTAGCCAACCTACATGCCAATTAATCTCGTCAGTTTATCTCTATGTGAATGTTTTTACTTTTTCTGAACAGTTTTTGATATAAATACTGATCAAGTAGCGGGATGAAGAGACGGACAACTGGACGGACAAATTATGCCGACGAAAATAAAACGTCATCCCAGGTCTTAAAAGAGAGTCCATCCCGATACTAAGTTGGTTTTGATAAAAGCAGGAAAATGAGAGAAAGAAATTAGTGAAAGTTTGAGCAATATCTGGTTAAAAATAGGAAAGTTGTCATCAGTAAAACACAAATTGGCAACACTGTGACGCATCATGCGAGCTTCTCTCCAATTTGCAAGGTACAGATAATTTCATAGTTTTTAATCTTCTCACTTATTGATGACGAAATAGCTTTTTATTTATTCAGGGGTTGTATTTGCAGTAATTACAAATAGGGTGACTGTATGACTGAAAATTTCTTTAAGGGAAATAAAAAATTATTTTTCATAGGTATTTGCTCAAACTTTCACTGAACAGTTTCTCTCATTTTTCTGCTTCTGTTAACTAACTTGATATTATGGTAGAATTCCCCTTTAATAAAAGAATCATAACGTCTATTCTGAGCAATAAGGTCGAATTCCTTTCTGCTACTGAACCGATTTCGTCTTTGAGATCTGCAACAAAGTTCATAGGCCTGCCCTCGTCAATCCTGAACTAAAGGTTTGCTCTAGGTATTTTCTCTCAGGTTAGCTACTTCCCCTCTTTAATTATTTCAAACACGAAACTCTGAGTTCCCAGAATAAAAATACTAGTAAGCACGTACTAAGCTGGCGACACATCATGTAAGGATTCAGCATGTTGGTGTAGTAGTGGTTATTTACCTGACTGCTAAGAAAGCACTACTGCTTGTTAGTAAGCAACCAGGAGACCGACGGCTTAAGGTCCTCTCCAAGAGACCTGGTAATGAGGATTAATACCTTACTAAAGGGCCTTAGCGGATCGCCTCGGTTTCGAACCCGGGTCACCGGATTACGAGACCACTGCTCTACCAGCTGACCTATCGCGCCTCCTCTAATGTTGGCGGTCAGACTTTTATGATATCAAATACATTTGTTGTTACTATTATATTATAGGCTCCTGTAGGCTTCGTGGTAAGCTCCAACACCTATTGTGGCACAATGTTAAAATATTTGGACACATGCACGTTTTGCGTATTGAGAGATATGATGTTGGGCACCTGTTGTATGTGTCATGCAGAGCACGTGATGTCCCTGATGTGCCCATACATAATAGACGTGCTTAACATTTTGTTTCACGAAAACATGCGTGTATTTTAAGCCGAAATCAGGGAGTGTCCCAACAAAATGTTGCAAAATTCAGAGTTCAGACGACCACCGACAAGCAAGACTTGATCAGGAAATGTCACTGTAAATCAAACACTCTTTCTGGTCAGAGTTACTTGAGTACATCGTTTTAAAGGTCGTGAAAGTAGGCGAGTGGCCTTCTAAAAGTGCTATACAGTTCGTGCTTTATGTCGTGTTAATAGTGTGAACGGGGTGGCTTTAGAGCTCGTGTTTTATATCGTATTAACATCGTGAAAGAATACGACTCGTTTTAGTAATATGCTTTAAATCGTATTAATATCGTGAAATTCGACGATTCGTCTTAGAAATCGTGCTTGTTGTGGTATTGACATCATGAAAGTGGACGAATTGTCTTAGAGCTCGTGCTTCATATCACAATAACATCGTGAAAGTGGACGAATCGTATAAGAGCTAGGGATTTATATTACATAAACATTTGGATAGGGGCGAGTTTCTGTTTAAATCGTGTCAACATCGTGTTAACATCGTGAAAGTCGGCAAGTGGCATTACTCTTTAAACTGCGGAAATTAAGTTCTTCAGCATGGGTAATCCATGTGAAATTATGATCTGGTGTCACTTGAGGTATATACCCCTTATTAATATTTTGAATTGCAGTGACTATAGGGGTGCCCCTCGCAGCTGCTTGCAGGGATAGGCCGGCCACTCTAAACCAGGACGGATCGTACCCCCCACATGTTACATGGTTACATACCGTCGACATCATAGACACTGAAGAGAAATCGAAGTTTATCGACAGGATCTCCCTTGGTGAGGAGATAGAGCCCCTCCATCAGCTCATCCAGAGAGATGTACCCACTCCCGTCCTGGTCGAACAGATGGAAGAAACGCTCCGCGAAGAACGACTGAGGAGGAAGAAGAAAGTAGAAAAATGAACATGGATTAGAATCGTTCTTTAGATGGGAATACTATGAGAGGCAGATGTATCGGATATGGAGGGGATAGGGGCGGCGGGTAGGGGCAGCATTGTTACCTCCTATCAATTCATTAACTGTCCTTCTTTTGTATGTTCGTGAATTATAATGAAATAGACTTATTGTAATTTAATGATACAACGTAAAGGATATTCCAAATAATTTAGGAATATAAATGTGTATGTTTGATGTTTTGTTTTATGTCAACTTAACAAACATTTATTCAATAAACAATAAAGATGAATTATTTTAGACACCAGAAGAGACAGAAATGGCTCTTTTGTGCATACTATGTCTGATCTGTGGTGACGGAAAAAAATGAATTGATAATCTGATGATGATGGGTGTGATTGTTAGGAGCCATTGGTTCATTAGGGCATTTAATCTAAAAACGTGTCTGGAGAGTTGACTAAAGTAGGACAGAATGAATCGAATAATGTAAAAAGAATTAAGTAAAGAACTAGTTTCGATTCAGAGGGTGATACATGAAAGCAATTTCATTGCATATGACTATCGAATTCATGATTTGGTCCGAGTGGATTTAAAATCGAATAATTTAGTTTTACATTTCAAAAAGATCGAAAGCAATTAAACCTTATGGATACCCCTAAATATCAAATTGCAAATACATGTGTATATTGCACTGTTCGTTAAGTTTGATTTTCGACCAATAAGCCCATTCCTCCCTGTTTTCTTCGGTACGTGTTTCTGACTTACTTTCTTTCATCTACCCTTTTTGAACTTTGTCCATCTCTGTCAGTCTTTATGTCTGTCTTTCTGTCACTCCCCTCTCCTGACCCCTCTTAATCCAAACTCTCCATCTCTCTATCTTTCTCTCCCTATATCTCTTTAAAGAATATGTCATGCCTACCCCTCTGCCTGTCAGTCATTTTTTTCTTTCTATGTTTGTCTGTCTGTCTGTTTCGGTCTCTCTATTTCTCTCTCTCTCTCTCTCTCTCTCTCTCTCTCTCTATCTCTCTCTCTCTCTCTCTCTCTCCCCTCTCGCTCTCTCTCTATCTCTCTCTTTTTCCTTCTCAATCCACTCTCCCCATTTCTCTATCGTTTTCCCCCTTTCTTTAAAGAATGTGTTCTGTCTGTCCCTCCGTCTGTTTTCTTTATGTATGCATGTCCCTCTGTTTCAGCATTCCACTTTCTCCCCTAACTCCCTCCCCCTCTCTCTCTCTCTCTCTCTCTCTATCTCTCCCTCTTTTAATATCCACTCTCAGTTTATTGAAATTAATATTTGTTCCCCTTTCCCTTTAAAGAACATGTTCTTTGTGTTCAAGTTCAAGTTCACTTTGACGTTTATCATCAAACGTTACATGTATATGCAAATTCACCTTTTCAAGGACACATTAAACTTCACTCTCGTTTATCAAGTGTCTGTACTGCCTCTTTGGTCGCAGCAAGTACATTTATGCAGCGCCTGTGCCCTTTAAAGACCATGACCTTCCAAAGTACAGAATGAGACCCCAGTCCAATTCCAACAGGGCGATTATATCAAACCCCTCTACGGTAAGTACTTTGAATGAAGATATTCACGTTCCTTTACATCCTTCTGTATCCCTACCCCTCTCTCCTCTCTTTCCTCTCTTTTTCGTATTTCCCCCTTTAAGGTTTTGTTTGAAATCACAAAAACGTTCTCTTCCTCTTAATCTTCTGCATTCGTGTGTCTCTCTTCCATCCTCTCGAAGCTATTCACACCGCATCACCCATCTCTCTGCATTCCGTATAGTTAGCTACACATACGACTATGACCTTGAAATGCTCAATAAAGCCCTTTATTAATGAGCAATGTAACCTGCATTGAATAATCGATTAATATTTAGGGGACATTATGCCCCATTTCGATACATCAAACTTTATTTGTTATTGCTATATATTTCCTGCTACTTCTAACCGATATCATTGATATGTTTATCATGACCATAATGATTGTAAAGAATACATCAGGTACTTATTGATTATCAATTTGGTTTTACGCCATGCATCATTACACATCAATGAGTGAGACCGTTTTACATGAGGCCTTGAAACATAGTCATGATATACCAGACCACTGAACTTGTTCGCAATGTGACTCAAAGAAGGGTCGATAAATCAGGGCAGTTATGAAAGAGGCGTGTTTTCAAGCTTTTGATTTAGCATTCAACATTTTTAACTGGAAAGCTGGTCTTTTGAAATTAGGTAGTGTGTACGTTGTATTTTTATACCAAAATAAATATTTACCACAGAAACTATTTTAAAACAGTCCCTCCGACTGTCTATAGAGTTGCTGGTTCGTTGTGCCCTTTTGGAGTAACTTCAGGACCCCAGTGGTCTTCTGTGGTTCTTAACCTATACCATATTTCACTAATTTGTTTATAGTGGGTTTTCTACATTTTCAGCCAAAATATTTGTACTAAAATGCATAAAAACACTGGTGGGCCCCTAAAACATAAATTGTGGGCACTTTAGGCGCTAATTTTAAGAAATCAGTCGGTGGCAACGTTTTAGCATAACATTTTACCCAGGAATCAGCATTTCAAAAAAGGTGAACGCCATTTCCCAGTTGGAGCCGTCTGTGTACCTAACTAAACCCCTTTCCATGAATTATTAACCCTCTATCCCGTCTCCAAGCACACGTTGTCAGTCTCTCTCGCACTTCCAATTCTTAAACTTTCTCTCTCTTTCGCTGACATTCTCTCTCCTCATTCGCACCGTTTAAATATTTATTCATTGTCACAATCTTCTTGCTTATAGAAAAGTCAAAGTGAAAACCATTTGTTTTATAATACATGTATATAATATGTGTAGGTACATGAGGTACAAAAGCATGCCGACCTTTATTATCGTGTCATAATATTGCTGTCGTTTCCACCTTCATTTTGTATTTACCCCCTTTGTTTAAGAGAATTCACTAGTCAGAAGGTTAACTTTGATAAGATATTGGAGAAGGAAAAAGAAGGTTTCTAATTAATGTTACACAAGAGAGAGAGAGAGAGAGAGAGAGAGAGGGGGGGGGGGGAGAGAGAGAGAGAGAGAGAGAGAGAGAGAGAGAGAGAGAGAGAGAGCGTGCTTTGAGTAATTACTTTCTTTGGCATTTTGAATAGTGTATCTTGCAGAAATAAATCTCTCAGTCATGTATCTGAATAAAATTACATGTTCATGGTCATTCTTTCAACTTCTTTTGTTAACGGGTTAACCAATTTGGATAGTATACTTTTGATTAATACTTTCTTTAGCATTTTGGATAGTGTATCTTGCAGAAATAAATCTCTCAGACATGTATCTGAACAAAATTTCATGGTCGTTCTTTCAACTTCTTCTTTGTTAACGGGTTAACCAATTTGGATAGTATTACCAATGAAAATGGCAGGTGTGATATACGTGCGCTTTGTGACTAGCAACTTTATAAGTCTATTGCTCTCTTCAGCCAACTAGAGACAAATTCCAACGTTGGCATGGCTTAAACAGATCTCAATTTCATGAACCTGATATACCTATTGTCTCTCCCTCTTTAATGGAGTCTGGGCGATATTGATTACGATGAAGCAGTTTTGTCATTTTCCGTGTGAATGATTAACCCTGTGAACAAATATTTCCGTGACCACATTTTGAAAAAATGAAAGAGATATTGAAATTGAGGTTTATTATGACAAGGGCTGTTTTCGGAAGTCCTTGAGAGATTATTAGTTGTCGAAATGTTTGCAAACCGCCATGATATATGATTTATTATCCGGAAGATTCAAAAGAAAAATCAATGATTTTTATGAATGATTAACAGGATGAACATTAAAAGTTTGACATGTCTCATAATTTTTTATTGCAAAATCGTGTCAAATATTCTGGTTTCATCATGGTTATCATCTACAAACAAGATAACATCCTCACATAGCCATTTAATGATACACACCACATGTCATAGAATTAATTCGCATGCCTATAATAATTAACTCCCGAGTATGTAAACTTCAAAGAATAGAAACGACTTAAAGAGTGTTGTTTAGTATTTGACAAGGCTTTTACGTCGTGTTTTGAAATTGCACGCACATCGGAAGATCGCCCCATCTGCTTATACATTCCATGTGCTCTCGATCAAATCAGAGATTGCTTTTTTTCCTTGGAAAAGACAAGTATTTTTTTTTCTGAGATGGATATCTGGCAGAATTTATTCCTGGAAATGTACTGTGTGATGAAACCCATTAAAGTAGCTAAAGCTGAGTGAACGATATTTTAAATGTTGGAAGTGCATCGGGTTGTTATATCATAATTTAATATTGGCTGAACAGCAGCAGCATAATGTTATATTTCTATACAATAATAATAACAATAATAATACGAGTAATGATTTACAAAAAATTATGATAATAATGATAATGATAATGATAATACTTTTACTACTACTACTTCTACTACTACTACTACTACTACTACTTCTACTACTACTACTACTACTACTACTACTACTACTACTACTACTACTACTACTACTAATAATAATAATAATGATAATGATATTGATAATATTAATAATGATGATAATAATAACGGTAATTCAATTTTGTTAACGCTTTTGATGATGTTAAATTATATTTCATAGCCACTATTTCAAACCAAATAAAGCAATGGAATGTTACAAAATTGAAAAAATGATTCATACAATTGACATTTTATTTGAATCATTCTTATGTTTTCAAAATTCAAAATCGGTTCAAATTAAAAAAAATATTTGACAGCGGCAATTAGTCAATCATTTTCTTTCCTGACAAGCATGGATGATTTTAGAGAGGAGATGTTTTGAAGATTGGCTGATCTCTGGAAGGAGAATTGGAGTGGACTGCGCAAGGTTGACGAGTGTCTCAAGTAGGCTGTCGTCCGTCAGCGAGTGTGTGGGTGCAAGTTGAACAGCTACACGTGTATAGGCAACAAACACTGCCCCCTTAATAAAC